CTATATGATAAGAACGACTATTCCCAGTAGTCGAAGATTTAAAAAAAGAAAAAACCAAGTTGATGTGTTGACGGATAACTGCTTATCTTTTATGAAAAACATGACTTCCTTTGTGAGTCAACGAGATGATATTCGTAGAAAATATTATTATAAGGTAGGTGTATCTTTAACGCCTATCCGTTGAATCATGGCACCTTACTTATCTTTGTGGGATTTTTGTCTACTTTTATGCAATAACAATACTGATATGAGATACTTATTTAAATCGTGTAGTTTTCATTACTTTTCCGTTGGTAGCAGTATGATGCACGCTTTGATTTTTCGTCTTTGTTGTTTATTTTTAATTTGTCGAATCACGTACCAAACGGAGTATTCATGTGATTCAAAAGCTCCATGTGGCTGCTCTCAGTTTCCTGTCGTAGCCAATGCTCGTATTGTTAACGGAGAAAATGCCGGACGCAATACTCTATCTTGGGCTGTATCTATAAAGGTAAGAATCGTTTTATTTTCATTGAATTTACTGTGTCTTTATAGATTCAGGCAAATGAAGGTTATTATCAATGTGGTGGTACTATCATTGACGATTCATACATTATAACAGCAGCTCACTGTGTTGATTTCATCCGAAATCCATCGGATATATCGGTGTATGCTGGTTCATTACATGTCTTCGACGGTGTAGTGAGATCAGCATCAGAAATTCATGTACATCCGTATTACGACGACCAACGAAACAGAAATGATATTGCTTTATTAAAATTAGATCGTGCATTAGATTTATCAAACGATAACTTATCCAAAATCTGTTTACCTAGTACTGTTGCAACATCAGGAGAATATCCTATAGCAGGTACTTCACTGTTAGCAGCGGGTTGGGGTGATAAATGGTCGGAAGGACCCAGTTCAACAACTCTACAACAGGTTACGATTCAAGCAGTGGGAGCACAAACAACATATTGTCAACATATTATTGAAGATCCAACGGTTCAATTATGTGCAGGGACAATGCCTGGTAGCGAAAAAGGTAAGCTCTATATAGGCATACTCACATTTTTTCATGTAAATCCATCGAATCTTCCTTTTCGATACATTCTGCATAATTTAATTCACTATCCAAGTTATTAAAAAAATCTAGTATCAGAGGTAGCGAAGTTGCAAAACACTTAACTATTGCCAAAAAAAGATGATACTAATACAAATTTGTTCTAGATACATGTCAAGGAGATTCGGGTGGTCCATTGATGATGTTTAATGCGAATCAAACATGGGAATTGGTCGGTATAATCAGTTACGGTAGAGATTGTGCTGTACCGGATTATCCTGGTGTTTATACTCGAGTAACTTCTTACTTGGAATGGATCAATACGACTATTCCGTATACTCCAACATCACCGACAACACTAACAACAACACTACCAACCACATCACCAACACAAACAACAGCCACCAAACAAACAACTACAACTGTTTTCGATAATTCGTCGAGTTCAATCGGTATAAGCACTTCTTTATTTCTTTCAATGATGCTTTTTCTTTTCAAATATTGATCAAATAATTCATTTCCAACAGCTTTTTGTATGATTCTTATTTTAATCAAAAATAAAAAAATATTACTCTGGAATTTATTGAAAACCGTGTAAGATCTAAAACATATATGTTTAAGAATTTTGAATAGATTTTTGGCAATTCTATAGTGGTTTTTGTTTTGTATCTAGTAAAAATAAATGAATCATTTGAATATTTTATGGTATTAAAACTACACTTGGATCACGCTGTTTTGTTACTAGAAGAAAAAAAAATAATAAGAATAAAATAAATATATTATTAAAAACTTTGTTGATTTACCATTATAGCCAGGACGACCTATTTTAATAAATTTACGAACTTCAGAATGACATTTTATTGATTGAACTATATCAGATGATTGTTGATTTTTACGAACAGCACGTCGAGCTCTATAATCATCAATGTTTAGTATTATGAAATGTAAAGCTTATAAAATGTTTTTAATTCTGATAATATATTAGATAGTATTGGATATGGATAAATTTTTGATATTGATCAATTTATTACTATTCTAATGTCGAGAAGCTTGAATAATCTCATGATGAACAACTCTTTCCTATACTAATTCTTACGAAATACTTTGATCGGACTTTCTATTAAAAATATTGAGTTTTTTTCATAAAAATAGAATCTCACAAATTCGATTGATGCTTTTTTCCTTGTGTATGAGCCAGATATGAACCTTCATTATTATGTGAAGTTAAACAAAATCTACATTCATAAGTTCCAACACAATTTCTCATAGAATAAGGATTTTTAGCAAGATTAATTGTTTCAAGAGCCAATTGACGGAGTCGTTCGCGTCGATCGCGATTCGATTCCGATCCATTGGCAACACCATCACCGCCAGCTCTCTGTTGAAAATCCATATTTAATGAAAAATATTCAAACGATTAATTATAAACAATTCTTCGTAGTCTTTTTCTACTGTTTCGAAATTACAGTTTCTATGAGCGTCATTAGTTGAGAAATTCAACCAATAACATACTTAATGAAACACATGCATCAAATTTACTCATATATGTTTACGATACGTGCGACATCTTATTCACGAACTCACTTGACGGTGTGGGTGTTGATAGTAAGTAGATTACCCACACCTCACATCCACATCCGACTCACCCACACCCTTCTAACAGATCGAAACATCAAGAAATATTTTTTATTGCTAAAAAATCAATATATTCTTTTTAATCAAAGCTGCTGTAGTATAGCTTATATAATGAGTCTCTTGCCATTAAATATATCCAGTATTTATGAATATTCGTAAATTGATGATTTAAGGCTTTTGCTCATTAACGTTTGAGAATAATGTTTTATCATAATAGTTGTCAAGATCCAATTGACATTCGGACTCATAATTTTGATTCGGAAAGTAATCAGTACATGAATCTTGTCGACGAATATCCCATGTTACTATTTAAACGACAGAAAAATTGATAAGAGAAACAATAAATTAAGAAAAATATCTTATGCTAAGTGTGAAATATCATAGATCAGAATTCAGATATTTTTCTCGGCGATATTTGAAAAATAAGTATGAAGTCTGCGGGAGAAAAAGCTTATTCTGACAGACTTTGAGTTAAACTTTTCTTTCTTTTAGGAGACGTCTATTTTTCCAAAATAATACTTTACTATAAAGTTGGTCTAGAGCCTTTGAGTTTAAGTTCAGAATTGGGAAACCTTTTTCATAAAATGTTTTTTTGAATATGAAGGACAAAGAACTGTCTTTAGCAAATAAATCAACTAATATTTTGTCAGCAATCAAAATGAAAACAGGGCTGATAAATTGTTCACTTATTGTTTCTTACAAGTTCAATAAATGACAATAGTTTTACTGCACTTTTAATTCAATATCAAAAACAATGTATGATTTGAATGCATTATAGAGGAATGAATGTTTTATCATTTATTAGATAATTGAAATCGTACTGATTTGCTTTTCGTCAGTTTGGCGATAGTACTTAATTTTCATAGTTAATTGAGGTGTGTGGACCTCATAACCTATTTTAAAACGTATAGCAGATTTTATCTATCTATAAATGACTCATTGAAAAGTGGTAACTGAAAAACGTTTTCGAAAACTAAATGCATCCTGATCTAATCAATTCTACAACACATACCGCAATGAAGACCACCGCCAAATTCATTAAGTACTCGAAGAGGACATGTAATAACATCGAATCCAAGTTCATCATGTAATAGTCGGTAGAGTGCCGTTTCACATTCTTCGATTACTACACAACGATCACTGAGTGAAAGTAAATTCATATGAAGGTTGCTTGTGCACAATGCGAGTGGTGGCACCTCTTTGGTCGAATATAAAGGTGCCCATATTGGACGCCAATCGTTATCAGTGAACAGCTTCATTTCACTTGCTAATGGCGGATAATCTTGATTAATAAGTACAAGACCATGTGAACCTGACGTTGGTGGTCGTAATGGTACAAGGGAAGCATCCAAATGATAACTACCATCAGTTGGAAAATGCAACATGTGAAAACGAAGATGAGGAAATGTGCGACGAAGCCAATATAAACCTTCATTATTTGCTGATGCAGATTTTTTATAGAACACATCCTTTCCCATGCGCATCATATCAGCAGCATCAAAAGCAATTTCATTTTCATTTAGATTTGTCTTGTAACCACTGTTAGCAAACGTTATTTTATTATAATCCTTTGTATTTAGTTTTTCCCAGAAATCGACATCATGGAACATTTTTATTGGTGAACATGTCGGTTTTGGTGGTTGAAGCCATTTCATATTCGAATCACGTTTCCATAATGAATAAAGAAGTGGTTTATAATACTCAGATTCAAAATATCTGGTGTGAACAGATGTCGGTGCTTCTAACACTGTGTCACCTAGCGTAATCAAAACATCCCGTGGACATGCCAGACCAAACTGATATTGAGATTTGAAATGTGGTGTAGATAGCTGATGATTAAAACAAAGCGGCTCCTCCTCTGGTGCCTTTAAAGGTCGGCACACATCAATCTTACTCTTCTGGATAATTCTCCCATCAGTATTTTCTAATGTATTATGACCTATTGATGATTGTTTTCGAGTCATAACTTGTGCGATATTATTGTCGAATATTTCATCTGTAGAGTTCGCAACTACGATCGATTCAGCCCGGAGTAATTCGGTAAGATTGTCCAACTGAGCTTGTGCTTGGTCGATACAACGACGAGGTCGTCGACCAGAAATTGCACGAATATACGGACGCATATTAGAGGATCCCGTATGCCATGGGTACGAGGGAGTTTCATCGGGATAACACATACCTTCAGCTGTGCCTACGCATATAAGTTCTAATGTACCCCATTCTGTCCATGAATTCACTATTGATGATGAAGCCATAATTCTTGATTCGGACACGTATTTACCTACCAAATAAAATAAACATTAGTTTTTTCCGTACATTAATAATCAGAGGGGTGTGGGTGTGGGTGCGAGTATTATTCCCAAGTCACATCCACACTCATATCCGTGCTTGATGATTTATATTTCGTTTCCCTCCAAGAAATTATCATGTAAGATTGTTAGAAATATTGATTATATTACACACTATTTCATACTTACGTATAGATGTACGCAAACAACACAGTAAATAAATTTTCTTGTTGAAGCTTTTAAAACATAAAAAAGAAGCAAGTTACCATTTGTTATCAGTGTATACTGCGCAAATATGAGTGTGTATGCTATGAAGAACAGATAATAAGGAGCTAAAGAACGGCCTTGGTAGTCTTATAACTACACTATTTATTCTTCACTAGATAACGTTTTAATTCATCTATAAAAGTAGTTGTCGATGAAGAAGATGAAAATCTCTATACAAATCGTTCTTAAGGGTAGGTGTGTGGTATGGGTGGGTATGAGTATGGATGCGAATGCCAATTAGCTTGCGCACTTGTCAACAGAATGCGAGTATCGGTCAGATTGTCTATGAGTGTCGAGATTTGCTGGATGAGAATGTGGTGGAGGGAGAAATGGATGTGCATCATATCTACTTTACACACATCAACACAGATGGCTTCAACTGCAATCGTCCTGATCGTCAAGCACCCTCAAGAAAAAAGGAAAAGAAAAGATGAAATTTCTAATTTTCGTTTGAAAAGTATGGAGAGGTGAGTGCGGATTAAGTATGTCCGGTATCTACGTGTATCTCATGAACAAGAATAAATCTTTGCTATAACAGTTAGAAAAGACAAATGGATGGTAAAAACTGGTCTATATTTTTTAACACATGTAGTTTCTAGAAACAAAGGTACTTCCTGACATCATACTTATAAAATGGGACCCGAAACAAAAATAATGTAAAAAAGAAAAGTCAATGGACCGAGACAAACGAACGAATAGACGTGAAATTTAATGATGTGAGATATTATGAAGATAAAAAGTAACACAGAATAGTAAAAAAGTTGAACAGGAAAAAAGAAAAGAAAAAACAAAATCGATTATTTTTCTTTGAAAAGTATGAAAAGGTAAGTGTGGATGAAGTATGTCCGATAACTGCGTGTATCTCAGTAAGGAGAGATGATGGATGCTATAAAACTGTCTTCACAGTGGCGTAGCCAGGGGGGGGGCAAATGGGCAATTGCCCATTGCATTTGGAGTTTTGCCCATTGTAATTTTTAATAATAAGCCTTTGCTCATTGAAATTTTACTTCTTCATACTTTTTAAAAATTATTAAGGGATTTCGAAAAATTTTGAACAAATTTTCGAAAATATCTTTTAAAGTTTCTAGAAATCTTCGCAAAAATTTTCAAAAAAAGTCGTTAAAAACTCACAAAAATCATCGAAAATTTTTAAAATTTCAATAGTTTATAAAAGTTTCTGAGAACTTTTTGAAAAATGTTTCGACTGCCTCAAATATTTAACACTTCGCGACAACCCTTTATGTTGAAATTATATACACAAATAAGTTCTCGTCAGTCTGATCTTGATGTTTGAGTTTTAAACATAAATGTTATAAACAAAGTTATTACGAGAGACTTAAAATACACTTAACTTAGGCTTAAGATCTGAGTCTAAGTTTAATGCATGTTTTTAATTATAAGACTCTCATTTCATTCATTTTCTGCTTTTTATACGTTCTCGGTAGTTTACTCAGCTAAAACTTTTTGGCCCATCAATAAAAATCTTGCCCATTTTGCCCATCGAATTTTTCGAGGTACTAGAAGTTTGCCCATTGGTCAAAAAATCCTGGCTACGCCACTGTGTCTTCATAGATATCGGCACACGCTCTTTGGTGAAATGAGATGTGCTCCGTAGCGTCTTAATAGTATAAGATTGAAAATGAAACAAAAATAATGCTCAGAAAAAAAGGCAATGGACCGAAACGAACGAACGAATAGACGTGAAATTTAACGATGTAAGATATTATGAGGATAAAAGATAATATAGAACAGGAGAATATCTCCAGAAATGTCTTTTCTTGAAAATCGATCTTCAATGTTTGTTTGACCTTGCAGGCGCACAAGCAAACAAACAATTTATTCTTGCAAGACTCTTCTCTATGAGAAAGAGAAAAAAATGACACAATCGAAAAACGAAATCATCTTGTGTCCCTATAATCTCTCATTTTATTACATCGAAAGTTGATTGTTCAAAAGTTTGTTCATTACGAGAAGTAAAAGTGTATCTCTAAAGTATGGATACCGACATTGTAGCTTTCTGTTCCGCCTTTCTTACTTTCCCATATACGAATTAACTCAGCTATTAAATAAAGTTGCGTAAACTAATAAAAAAACATCTGAAATAAAAAAGAAAGACGTATTGCTCATTGATCTCACGATCATAAGAATCTAAAACAAAAAAGATAAATATTTTCATACATTAAAATCACCAAAACTGCTATTTATTGATCAATCGAATATAATTATCTAGAATATAAAAATAAAATGTAGTTATATATGTTATGACTTAGATTAAGGACAGAGAAAAAGGAGAAATCAAAAGGTTTTGTTCAAAAAGAAATGGAACTAAAATGTTTGTGTATTACAAGAGAAAAAACACGGATTTTTCACTGAATTCAAGTTATAATTATGTATAATTGATGGTGATATGTTATTATTCGTTGTCACCTTCATAATGAATATTGAAAACAAAAGTATATAGCTTTTTTAGCAAATAAAATGAAATGGATACTTACCTATTTTATCGAAAAAGAAATGTGTTTATTCATGTTACGATTTTAAGTAAATGTTATTCTTGGTTATATTTAATACCTCGTTGTCACCTTGATGCACGATATCGAAAGAAATGATTTGTTGTTCTAATAAAATGAAAAGAGAGTCGTATTTATTTGCATACAGCTTATACTTACTTACTATTCTTTGCAATATGTAATAATTTCGTGCCACCTTGACGAAAAAATAAAAAAAATATATACATATATAAATAAGAAACGTGCTCTTCATCAATAAATAAAATACAACGACCGACAATCGTAACAAAATACTAAAAATATTTGCATATCAGCACGAATATTTCTAGTATTTATTGGTCAATAGAATACAATGATCTAAGATCAAAAAAATGAAATACATTTCTATTTTAATATAAAGAAATCTGATGTTAACGTGATAAAAAATAAAACTAGCAGGGCTCTTTCGCCAAATAAAATAAATCGAATATTTATCTATTTTATGACTGAAGAAACTTGCTTATTCCCATGAAGATTATAAGTGCCTGTTATCAATGCCGACATATAATAGTTTCGTGTGACCTTGATGAAAAAATGAAAAAAATAGTATATATAAATATATACGCAAGAAACGTGCTCTTCGTTGATAAATGAAGTATAACCATCGATAATCGAAAAAAAAATATTTATCTCTAAAAAGAAATATATTTATATTTATATATTGAAATCAATATTCTCACTGTGCATTGATCAATAGATTAGTACAATCGAAAATATAACAATGAAATCTATTCATATAAATACATCCACTTCTCAGCAACGTGTAGATTGTAATAGTCTAAAGGTAAAAAAATGAAATACATCTATATTTTAATATAAAGAAATCTAATATTAATGTGATATAAAACAAAACTGACAGGGCTCTTTGATCAAATAAAATAAATCGAATATTTATCTATTTTATGACTAGAGAAACTTGTTGAGGATGTGGGTGTGGGTGTGGATGAACACAAGACTATGTAACACCCGTACTCACACCCTGTTTAACATCAACAAGAACTACTAATATGGTTCCTACAATAGCTAAAGATTATGTATCACGAACAATTAATACACAAAATCAAGATTGTGTAACACTTTTAGCTGCATTTCGTAAATCAATTTATTATAATCATACAGATTTATTATTGGTTAATGTACCAATTCATTTATTATCCAGCAAACAATTATTTCGACGTTATCAAATGCAATGGAACAAACAATCTTCGTGTAAATTAACGATCAATTCTGATTTAACTGTAACATCCTTATCACGCAATTATTTTGGAATGAATTATCAATTATTATCATATCGATTAAATATTGATCAGTCAATTCTTAATTACAATTATTCTCATTCAAAAAATTGTTTCCAATTATTTGCTAATGAACGCATGCAATGTTTCCAGCAAATACCTTATAGTATTCGTTTATTAGATGAATAAAAACCAATAGCTATGGAATTTTTCTTATAAATAAATGTCGATCTGTTCTATATGAAAACATGAGTTAATGGGGAACGGATGTGGGTGTTGAAAGAATAGAATATCCACATCCACACCCTCAAGATTTCAAACCGCCAATGAAATATTTCCTGATCAATATTCTACTTCAAAACAAGATTCGGATGCTGACAGTGATAACAATACAAATAAACCGAAAAACAAACTAACTATTAATGATTATTCTATGGTTGTTTTGAAATAATTTGTTTAAAGTTAATACTCTTCTATTATCCTCAGATAGTGATGCTGCGTTAAGTAAACTCGGCTATTATGACCAAGGAAGAAATGAAACATCAGCTGGTGTCAGTTTATTTTGTGATGCTTTGGATGATCTTTTCAAGGGATTTATCAGAGGAACAGGTGTACCTCAAATGAAAACAGATTGTCCATTAGCACTATTTAGTATGTTTGTCGCCAGTACTGCAATCGAAACGGCTCATATGCTAAAAATTCTCCAACAAAAGTTTGAAATTTATCCTGATTTTCATCTTGTTACGGAAACAAATTCTTGTTCAGCAAGGCGCGCATTACTCTAGTCACTATATTACGTTTTTCAAATTAAATTTGGAGATCACAACAGATCTTGTCGACTACTGTACGGTGTATTAGCTGAAGATTCATATTATCTAAATAAATCATTAAAAACCTTGTTAAACAATTGGAATTAAAAAATTAATAATCGGCCATTAATAAAAAGACAAGCAGTTGTTATGAACACAACCGAATGTTTTCACCAACTCAGAATGAAAATATATCTAGACATTAAATTAAATTTTATTTTTTGGAAGACAATAAAGAATAGTCTTAATTAAAGTGCGGCTTAAGTTCAAGAAACTGGCTCTAATTAAAACCAAACAGAAATTTAAAAAGATATTGTAGAAAAAGAAACTATTTTTAATTTTATAACCTAACTACAAACTATCAAGACGAAAATAGCTATATCTTTGAACTATTTCCTAAAATAGAAGCACGATAATAAATTGTTTTGTTGCCTATTGAAGTTATGGAGAGAACGTTACACTATCAACTAATGAAAGTTCTTTCTAATATTTTTTTACCTTTTATCGACTTTTGCAGGCTAATATGTTTTATAAATCATATATCAAATGCTTGCTTTATTTTTAATAAACTGAAATCAAACAGTAAGAGAAGCGCTTTTCTTTTTCAAACGATACTTGAAAATACAAAATTTTATATTTTCAATTAAGTCATTCACTCTTGTAACTTTCTTTGACTACAACTTTAGATCAATAACATAACACTTGAAACAATATTTTACAAGATTCTCTTAATTCAATGGAATAAAATAATTCTAACCAATCTTTCGACTCCACCGATGAATCTGATTTCAATCGTCTATCAACTTTTTCTATTCCAATTATGGATTCTCCAATGAATTCACCTAAAAAGAATGAAATGTATGATTATCCACATCACCCGAACTCAGAACAAGTCGAACTTTAATCCGAAGCAGTCAAAGAAAATGCAACACCAAGTTCCAATCTCAAAAACAAAGTCGTATTCAATAAAACAGTTTCAAAGACTCATTCATCTTGTAAATAATATAGAAGAAACAAAACATATTTTGAATTACTTTTCTGGGTTCTCGCATAGGGCAAAAATGGTAACTGATATTTTCAATAAAAAAGAATTCACTCGTCATATCTACATTCACGTGTCTCCAAAGATAAGAAACTTGTGTATATGTATTCTTTGCCTTATCAATGAGTGTCACTACTCATTTATCTCTCAATAAGATTAGAGTTTCCCTGTGCCCGTGCGTATTTAAAATAATTCTTTTGTCGTTTAAAAACATTATTTTTTCTCTTTTATAAAATAAAATTCATAGCAATACAGCTTAGTATTTGTTTTGTACGTGTTTGAGGTTATTTCTATATAATCGAATATCGGGATGATTTGAAGGTAATGACCGCTGTGAAATTTGTACAGCAAGCTCATAAAATGTATGGGCTTTTGAGTAGTTACCCATGGCTTCATACATTGCACCAATATTGTTGTAGGAGCCAGCCAAATCAGGATGATTTGGAGGAAGTGATTGTTTACTGATTTCAAGGTCTTTTTCGTAATAAAAAAGTGCTTTTGTATAATTACCCATGTTTTTATATACTATACCAATGTTGTTATAGGATATAGCCAAATTAGGATGATTGGAAGGCAGTGATTGTTGTTTGATTTCAAGGGCCTTTTCATGAGATGAAAGTGCTTCTGAATAATTACGCATGTTTTTATGTACCAAACCAATGTTGTTGTAGGATATAGCTAAATTAGGATGATTGGAAGGAAGTATTTTTTGATCGATAGCAAGTGATTTTTCATAGAATGTAAGTGCTTCTTCATATTTTCCTTGGTCTCTTTTTATTGAACCAAGTTGATCATATAGAGGTGCCTTGTCTTTATCATCCCTTGTTTGATCAATTAAAACATTATAAATATCTTCAGCTGTGTCAAATTGACCCATTTTCCATAGTACCAACCCCAATCGTGCCCATCCTTCAGTATCTGGATAACTCTCTTGTCGAACGTACTCTGTAAGTCTGTTCAATTGCGGGTCGTTGTCAGCAGTCAGTGTCAAATTAACTTCATATAAACGATCATTTCCATCTATTTGTTTAATACCCTTGATCCGAAACACGCTATGCATTGAAAACAAGATTTCATGTTCTTGTGGGAGTTTGCTAAGACCAGCAATTGAAGCAAATGGTGTTGTTGATTGAGCAGGATTAATTTCCATAATAAAAAGAACACTTACTTGATCTTGCTTTGTTACAGCACCTTGAAGAAACTCTTGTGAAATTTCTCGAAGCGTACTGGTAGATAAGAAGTTGTTGAATGAAATAAGGCCATCTTTATTTGTAGTCATTGTTTCAAAATCCGCTGTAGATAAACCTTGGCCACGGTAAACAGTGAAGGTATTAGTAGCAGTTGTACTATCATATTGTTCCTTATGTAGTTGATCAATTTGTCGATGGAGATCACTAATGAAGAAACCCATACGTGTTATGATATCCCCATCCATCACTCGTAATGCACGATTGAGCATAGAGTGCAGAAACATGTCACAGGTGTACCAATAAATGGGTGTTTCGTTGTAATACTCACGTTTCAATTGTTTAATGTTTTCGGTTTTTTTTTTATTACCTTTGAAAACATTGCGACAGTAATTAATATAATCTTCGATATGCTTCTCGTTAAATTTGATGGTGAGCAATATTTCTTTGATGATTTGAGTGTACATAAAAGAAGGATCTAATTGATCCAAATTTTTATTTGATCCCACGAAACTCATGGGAATAACATTTTGCTCACATTGATGAGCAGCTTCTTTGAGTGCTTCACAAATGGGTGTAATATCTGTGAAGATACCCTTTATTTTTGGCCAATCTTTGACCCATTCTTCATGATGATTTATATTGCCACAGAAAATAAAAATCGAATCAATTTGAGGCATATTATGTACACGAGGCACAATATGTTCTCCAAGTAATCCCGATACAATGATACATACTTTGTTATCGATGATGGTTTTAATGAATTCAAGACATTGATCACCATCTGTAAATGTATTAATGTCGTTAACAGCACTTCGTAATTTTGTAATTGTATTTTGGCAATCCTTTTTTGTTTCATCAATATTACTGTCTAACCAGATTAGAAGAACATTTTGCATCTGTTGAATATTGATACGTTGACGACCTTCTGCACCTTTTAGAACTGCAGATGCATTTGTCGTAGCATCAGATTTACTAGATGATGTTGATTGTGCCTTGCCCATTATTGAGTGCGTGAATGCTTTGAATTGTAATTACTGTTTAAGATTGACTAGTGAAGTAATGATCAAAAACGATTATTTTTATAGGTGTCTACTTCCTTTCGAACTGTTATTTTTTTTCTTTTGACTGTTTTTTAGTGTTGCTATGATTAACAAATATCGAAATATTCCGTGAAAAAGAATAATTTCATTTCTTTTCTCGGTGTAAAAAAAACTTTTTTTGTATGATCAAATATTTGATGAATTGTATAAGTTGACAACATGTTTGTTGATCATTATGTAGATGATAGAGATGTATGTTCTAAATAAGTATAAATTAGATTCATCATAACATTTAATTCTTAATCTGCATACACATGCATGAATATATCATTACTTTTAAATTAAAAACTATTGTTCGATGAAATCTTTTCTTATAAAACTAAACGATCAAAAAAACCTCCGTTTTTTGCAATGATACAATAACCAACGACATCAGATATAAAGCAAAAAAAAGTGAAATTTAATACATTTTAAAGCAGAATAAAATAAAGAGCAGTTTACAATAACAGTAAGCATATTTATTGACAACACAAATTACATTAAAGAATAATTTAAATGAATACATTACGCGCCATTTGATGCACTCGTAATTACAGTTTCCGAGATCGATTATTGAACGACGCAGGTTCCCAAACACACAGTATCTCATCGATATATCAAATAAAATTAGATAATCCTTATTAAGATACAGCTGAGACAGTTTTTCTTATATTAATCAATTTTTAAATAGTTTAATATTATATTTAATCTTACAAGTTCGTTTACATTGTTTTCATAAAAGTAGTAGTAATATAAAATCAAAAATGAAAGCATAAGTAGTTAAATTACAAAAAAAAACAAATTTGATCCGATTGGTGTTTTACAATGTTAAGCTACTTCTAAAAGTTCTTCTAGTAGAGAATCTAATAATTTAATTAAAAAAATCTCGATGAACTGGAAACCAAGACTTTATTCTTCTGGTTCTCGTTTATGTTTCTTGACGTTCTTGTCATAATGCTCCTCGCTCTCAATACGAAACATAAGAGGACGTGTAATAGGTTCTAATGAATCGCCGTTTTCTTCAATTTGACGTAATCGTTTGGCAGTTGCCGGATTCGATGCATTGACGGAATAGATTTTAATGCGGTGCGCTGAACTTGTTACATGTAAGTCCCAGTTCCAAACGCTGCGTACATAAGTAGGTTGTGTGTTACATGCATTATCAAATGCTCGAACCACCAACTCCAGCCAACCTTCGGCGAGCACAGGTAGTGTGATCTTCCATAATCTCCATGCGTGATAATGCCTAAAATAGAAAAAATATTATGGATTCGATTTAAATAGATTTTCATCTTAAAATAGATCAAAGGAGAAAAAAAACAGTAGATACCATATTGTCTACTTACTTTTCGGTCATATCATCTGGATCACATTGAAGCCTAACAAGAGAGAAAGAAGATTCAATCTATTACAATATATATATACACTGTCTCTTACCAGGTATGTCCTCCATCAGCTGAAACATCAACTCTTTCTATCCATCGACCTCCACCTGAATAAGCCCATCCAGTCATTTCAATCTTGCCTTGATGCACTACCACTTGTTTGTCATTTGGAGTCATGATTGCCGAACCTACAGGCATCTCTTGAATAGAAAATCCATTGGAAAAGAGAGCGTTCTGCTTTCCAATCTGTGGTCCATAATAAAGATATTCTTGTTGTTGTACAGGACCGCGTGATGGTTCGTTGAGAACATTGACTCTTAATACCCATTTACATGATCTTGCTCCAATAAAACCTGTGACCACCACTCGAAGTGGTGCTCCATGAATAGCTGGTAATGGTTCACCATTCATTTCCCAGACAAGTAATACTTCATTGAGAGCTTCTACTTTTCGACGTGGAACACTTACGGCATAATTGAACACGTTCAGCTTCTTGAAATATGTGTCCGCTCCAATGAATTCGACATGTCGCGCTTCGTCTTGCATGCCACCACAGTACTTGAGGACCTTTTTCAAGGACACACCTCGATAGCGAGCTGTACCAATAGCACCTTCACCCCATGGAGCATTGATTAATTCATCACCTTCTCCAGGATATTCATGAATTTGTTCGATACGACGTGTTCCAGAACACTAGGTAAGTAGAATAAATTTTTTAAGAATTATGTATGACTTACATATTTTGTGCAAAACTTTTAAAAGTATTTCTAGAACAACATACTTGAAGAGTGACTGTTACTTCAACAGGTTCGAACTTCTTGGGATCTTGTAGATCAGCCAACGTCAATATCTGTGGTTTGTTGACCAGTCCTCCAATAGTTAATGTAAATGCCGTTTTGTCAATGGTAGGAATACCACCATGATTTCGTACAAAATGATACTAAAATAGTACTAGATTAAGACATCTACTAGGAACAGACAACTTCAAAATACCTCGTTTGGAGTCATTTTGTTTTGCATGAGTTTATTACGAGGTGGCTCGCCGTTATATGGAAAATCGAGCACATGAATCATGTCAGCTGCCTTCTCTCGTTGCACAATTGCCCATGATTCAGCCGGTATATCTTTGAGATAAGG